AAAGTCATCTGTATTTTTCAGACAGGAAATTCTCTACAGAGTAGATTTACAGTTTGCTTCTGCTCTCACAGGAGAATTGAACAGCTCGGGAACACTTTATGTTAATTTCTCACATTTTGAATTGCAGATCATGTAGATAGAAAAGCTTCTGCATTAGTTCTGAGAGTTTTGACTCTTTATAAGTAGCTTTTCAGGTTTTGTTTGTTTGTTTGTTTGTTTTAGAGAGGTTTTTTTTAACTATAGGGTGCATGCACTTGTTGCTGAAGAGACAGAGACAGAAAGCAAGAAACCGCCTCCCAGGTGGAAGGCTGCACCACAATCCCCTCTTCTTCATTCTCCTCTTGAGATCTTGGGCATGAGTACACACATGCCTGGCACGTTTTAAGCCACCATGTCTGGGACTCAGACCACAGTCAACTACATGGCAGTCCAGTGACATAATCATTACACCATCTGCTGGGCCGTTTTTGTCTGTTTGATTTTGATTTTGTTTTTTGATACTCAGAACTCTGTACCTGCGAGACAACAACTTGTGCATCACCAGGCCCCATGAATAGGGATATTTTCAGTTCTGATTATAAGGATGGTGCTGGATTGAGCGACCGCATACCATCTTGAGCTGTGACACTGTTGCTGCCATGTTGTGACGCTGTGCCGGTTCCAGACCTCCACTCTTTCACTCAGGCACCCTGCTCGATTGTCCCGCTCATTTATTGAGGGCCAGAGAACATTCTTATATACACAGGGTAGGAAGCTGATTGATCATACAATGAGGGATGCAATTCTACAACCACTGATTGATTGGGTAAAGCCAGGAGGCAAGGTAAAAAGGGGGCGGGAATTGTCGCGGACCTGACTGAGGACCTGCCTGAATGAGGAAGTCTCAGGGTGAATTGTCTACTCCCGGAACAAGGATACTTGAAGGTCCTTGTATGAAGGTCATGTCAGCCATTTTGGTGCATGTGGCTCCCCACACTTACCCATCTTCACTTGAATTCTCAGGTTTTTTTATACCTAAAAGTTTGCATTGACGGGACAGGGAGGTGTGGTGTTACCTGTTGAAGATATTTTGATCAACTGGACTGGGGAGAAATGTTCACATATTGAAATGTTCACTTTGTAAGCTAAACAATGTGATTGAATGTATATAAAAATAAATAATAAATTTAAAAACTTTACTAAAAAATAGTTTTCATTATTAATATAAATTATGTTAAGTAGTATTCTCATTTGCTTGAGAATGAAGAAAGCAGACTGCATCCCGGGCTTTATCATGCTACCAGAAGCTATCTCATTGGCTCAGAGAACATTTCATAAATGTAAAACATGAAAATATGTCTTTTCAATTTTTTATAAAACCTCTGCACATTTTTTTTCTTCGCAGAGTAGAGTATTACCTTAATTTAGTGTACACTTTCATTGAATGTGTTAACAGAATATCATTTAGAATAATCAATTAAAATAATAAATACATTAATCTTGACCTCAAGGTGATCAAGCAAGAGAAATAAAAATATAGGTAGCAAAGCAAACATAAATGAATGTATTTCATGCATACGTTTTTAACTTTATCTACAGTCTCCATATGAATTTCTGAAACTGTGCAAAAAGCAAATTTTCAAAATCAATCTGTCTTTTCTACAAGTGTATTAATTATGAATTGGTCTCATTTATTTTTCAGTAATAGAAAGCTCATTATTCTGCCATGTTGTACATTTTATTGTTGGGCAACTCTCATTTTAGAATTCTCTTAAGTTTTTATTACATCATTTTCCAAAAGAAGTCTTACTTCTGCTTTTTGTATAAAAGGTAACTGAGTCTTTTCTTTCCCATATACAGATTAGTCAAATAGTTAGAAGAAAATTACCTTCTTATTCTAAATATTACCTTTTCTAATCCTCTTATTATTCCCAAGATAACATTTTCTCAAGGTTTATTATTTACACTGGCCACTCATAAACTCACCTGAATTAGTTTTAAATTTAGATGCCTAAGATGGATAAAGTATCTGTAAGTTGTTCAGTTTGTTCAGAGAGCAATTTTACCTCCTTCAAAGTACACAGTATAGTATTAAATCACATTAAATTTGCATTATCTTTCCAGTGACTTTTCATTTGAGCAAGTATATTCATTCATAATTCCTTGTTCTCTCGTATATTAATCTTTATTTCTTTACTTATTTATTTTTAAATTTTTTACCATAGAGTGCATGCACTCAATAAAGACAGAGGCAGACAGAGGGAAAGAGAGAAATCACCGCCCCTCCTTCCCGAGGGGATAATCATGCCCCAATTCCTTCTCCTCTCCTCCTCTCATCCCAGAATTTTGGGCATGTGTGCACAAACTCCCAATGTGATTTTCAAGCTGCATGTCTGGAATTTGAATCATCGGCACATGGGAATCCAGAACCCTAGCCTCATACCACCTGCTGACCCCTCATATCATTAATCTTAATGTTAAAATACTCTTTACTATTTTTTTCTATGTTTAGTACTTATGCTGTATCTTCATCAGATAGAGACAAAAATGAAGTGTAATTTATTTCTTATAATTCTGAATATTTTTTCTACTCTTAATAATATTTGTAGTTCAGTTCTTAATAATATTTGTAGCTTATTTTTAGAATTTATCAGATCCTATTTTACATTTCTCCATGTATTTCTTTCCTATAACATAAAAGTTAGATTTTCCTTCTTCTTGTTAAAACAGGATAAATTATAATACCCTTACTTCTCTCGGTCTTATTAAATACATAACAATTTATACATAACCTAGTTGCCATAGAGGTATATAGTTATTATTCTTTCCTCATTTCCTCCCCTCTGCATCTGATCAGACACCAATTTTTAGAAATTTTAATTTCTGTCTCTGAAATACATTTCACTTTTCATTCTCTGCTATATTTGTCATAAGTCAGAGCATGATGTAGCTTAGGTGAAATGATCTCTAACTGGTCTCCCAGATTCTAATATTTAATCATTTCCAAATACTTCTCCAAAAGTCTGACAGGTCCTCAGAGGCTCTTTCTGTGTTATGCCTACTTTTAAAAAAATTAAATCATTTTCTAAAATAATTTGGATAGGTGGAAGATAAATCTATACAGGTCCACATGGTCTGTTTATGAAAATGTTGAGCATTACTTCTGGGGTCAAACTGCCTAAGATCACAACCCATCTGCACCGGCATTAGAATTATGATGTTATGCAAGCTACCTGACTGTTCTAAGACATTGTTTCTAGGTCTGTAAAATAATATGGCAATAGAACTATATTATGTAATTGTTTTGAGGATTTAATGAACGATTCACATAAACAGTTCAAAAAAATGTTGACCACAAGAAATCATTAAAGAAATGTTAACTCTCATCATTTTTTTTTAAATAGAGTTTTGCTATAGGGCACGTGCTCTTGCCAGAGAGATACAGAGAGACAGAAAATGATAAATCAGTCCCTAGGAGGGATGGCCATGACACAACCCTTCTCCATTCTGCTCTAGGGGGGCTTTGGTCACACACAAGCCCAGCAAGAGTTTACCCTGCTGGTACCAGGACTTGAACTGTGGTCAGCTAAATGGGAGTACAGCAATGTAACTATTATGCTTTTTGCTGGTCCCAACTCTCATCATTTTCATCTTTTGATTAGGTAAAGTTCTTGGTCTTCTAACTTTACATATCCTTAACAGCTCATATAAATATTACTTTTACCAAGACTGTAATTATTTATGTTCTTTTATTACAATAAAAGTGTTATCAGAAAAAAAAAATAAGCATGATTTTTTTTCCATAGAGAAAAAGAGAGAATGGCCACCTAATCTTTGTGTGTCTCATATCTTGGAAAAGTGCCTAAAAATTTGTGGCTTTTTGTTTAATTCTTCCCAAACAGAACTAAAATGATGCTGGGTTTCTCAATCTTTAACAGCTTAAAGATAAAAATAGAGACTTCCAAGAGTCACAAGCAGCTTGAAGTTCTGGGCTCACTTACTGTTCGAAGGTTTTAGCCTGTTTCAAGCCATTATGAAAGAGAATATTATTGTTTGCTCTGAAAATTGTTTCTTATGTGTATTTTATGGTGTCAGCCACTTTCCTCTATCCATCTCTACTACTAAAAATGGTGGCATTTTTGTTACCACAGTTACCCAAAGCAATAGCTGTCTGTGATGCTGAAACCAATACTGTGGCTAATAAATTGTGAAATCCACACTGAGTTTTTTAAATGTCTGACAGAGAGAGTACTGATATTTTGCTCAAAAGCTGTAATCCTCGATCTCCTTGCCTTTTCAAGGAAATAGCACTGATAAGACTGATGTCTTTGCTGTCTTAGCACACAGCTCTAATAAACTGTGATTGCTATCGACAGACTGGTTGCACGTACCAAAGTTTTTATGTCCCATTTCTATTGAAGTTTGTCTTAGTTCATTATTGTATTGTTAACAGAAATACATGAAACTGAGAGAATTATAAAGAAATAAAGATTTATTTGACTCACTATTATGGCAGCTAGAAAATCCAAAGGCATAGGGCTGACATCAGGCCGGCTACAACATGGCTGCCAAACATAAAGAGATAGGTGAGCACGTGCAGAGGAGAGAAGAGCTGAGAGCTCTTCATTTTGTGACAACTCATTCTCAAGTTAACTCCTTCCAGAGCTGAAACTCACTAGATCTAGTGAGACATCATTAATTGAGTCAAGAAAAGTATGGTCTCCATGATGCATTCACCATTATCCAGTCACCACCCATTAAGACCCAATTCCAAGACAAACTTTTGGTACACAAATTATTATCCAAACCATAATAAAGCTATTACCAACACAATTGTCAGTTCACCGACATCAAGATGTCATAGAAATTCTGGAAAATTTTCTTTCACTCTTGTGTGACATGCTGTATATGTCCATGTGTTTGTTAAGTTGCAACCCAAGTGCCATTTACATTATCAATCACTGGGAATTGGGCAGAAACTAAGGGAGTGCGTGACACACTCATTTAAAAATATTTATCTTGTACTCGCTTCGGCAGCACATATACTGAATGAAACTGGAACGCTACAGAGAAGATTAGCATGGCCTCCTCACAAGGATGACATGCACACCTGTGAAGCATTCCTATTTTAAGGGGGAGTGTGTGAGGAAAGAAATTAAGGAGAAAAATAGAGAGGCAAGACATTTATGGGACACAGAAATGGATTATTTTCTCCTAATGACAATGTGTGCAGTATCCTGAATTGGACTGGTATGAAGTGTATTCATGTTGGGCAAATTCACTTTAAAGGCTAAGTGATGTATAGTGATCAAATGTATAAAATAAATTAAAATTTAAAAAAATTTTGTCTGCCCCTGAAACCTTGTTCATTTCCTTTTTAAAACTGGAGGTCTTGGAACCAGCAGTTAGCATAATGGCTATGTCTCTGGACTCCCATGTAGTTGAACGCGGTTTCAAGTCCCGAACCAGGCGACTTAAACTCATGCTGAGTGCATGTACGTGCATATCCAAGATCCCAAGAGGAGAATGGAGGAGAAGCGATTGCAGCGTCGCCATCCCCTCTGGAGGGTGATTTCTTGCTTTCTGTCTCTCTGTCTTTCTGGTGAACGCACGCACCCTATAGCAAAAACCTCTCAAATAAACAAATAAATAAAATAAACTGGACTTCTTTAAGTTTCCAGTCTCTATGCAAATAAAGAATTGTTGGAGTGAACACTCTTTTCATTCACATACATATTTTGTATCAAGAAATGTAAGTTTTGCATAGATCAAAGGCTTTAATAAACAGTAAGATCACAGGTAAGTAAAGCTTGGATATAAAGCTCAATAATTTGCTATAAATTGAAAATTGGTAAATTAGTCATATGCTTACTTGATAATTTCTAGGAATATACCATGGTCTTTCTCATTATGGACAAAAAGCAGTGGCAAATGGTATTAGTACTGAATTAGTTTATGACATGTTTGGAAAGAAAAAAAAAACATAAAATGTATATTTAATAACTTAACATTGTCTATGGTAAATACTGAAAGAATTATAAAGGCGGACAATGGTACAGAATTTGAGAAGGGAAAGATTTCTGAAAAGTGTATATGTTGCATTCATAAATTTAGAAAAAAATATAATGACATTATATGAAGTCTATAAATTAATGTGGCTCAATGCTATTTTATTCTAAGCAGCTAGATACATTATCTAAAGAAAGTCCTAATATAAATCAGAAACATCTATGTTTGGATTGCAGTGAGGAAAAGAAACTCTCTACTTTCAAATTAATATACATATTTCTAGTTAACAATCATATCATTCTAACTATTGGGAGAAAAAAGGTCAGAAGAAGTTAAAATTCACAAATTGTTTTCTGGAATAACGATTTTCACACATAGTCACATCTACTTTAATAGGAAGTGTTTCCAAGTCATTCTAACTATATGAGCTTTTCATTTTCAGATAAATTTGAGTCCTTTCAGCCTTGACTTAAATTGTGAATAAATAGCTTCGTGCAACATAGAATAAAGGCTTTCTTAAAGGTTTAGAACATCTCCAGATAGAAAATAGTTCATGCAAAACATTGTGATGAGAGAAGTTTGAAGAGTGCAAAACCACAGGTATTCATTTTTCTCTTAAATAGAAATGGAACATCGATCTATGAGAAAGTCACCTGGAAGAATATAAGCAGATCAAATTATATTAAAATGTATCTTCAAATATTGTCTGCATATTGTTTTTACTAAGATAATCAAAATATATTTATCTAAACATCCACCTTGTTTAAAGTCTATTTGTCAAATCATTATTTTTTAAAGTTGTGAGTAATATATTTCTCTAATTAAATCATTTCAATTACCAATATTGTCTATGATTTGCAAAATAATTTCCCACAAAGCTTGCTTGTCTTCCAAATATTAAATTATGGAAGACTAACTAAAAAACGAATAGGTTAGCAGTTACTGAAATCAATACTTACACTTTCATTATTGGTAATAAAATTCTAATGGAAGACATCAAACCTTGCTCTGTTGACTGTTTCTTCTCCTCTTTTCTCCTTCTTGTTTTTCTCTTCTTCCTCTTCCTCTTCTTCCTTCTTCTTCAGTTTGCTATAGGGTACATGAACTCATCTGAGAGCCAAAGAGAGGGGGAAAGAGAAATCCTCTACAAAGGCAGATGGCCATGCCACAATCCTTTCTCCTCTATTTGTCTGGAAGGGATTTGGGGCATACATACAAGTGTCCAGTGTGATTTTCAAGCCACTGGGTCCAGGACTCAAACCTCATAGTTGGCCATGTGGGGCCCAGCTGCCTTAACCTCCATTCTACCTGCTGAATCCTGTTTCTTCTATTATATTTCTTCATAATTTCCTTAAAATATGTCCCTTCAAATCAATATTGAGTATCCTCAACTTTCTTTAAAATTAGGAAAGGTGTATTCTCCACTAACTAAATATACTACTAGCTATATTCAACTTACTCTATCTTCCCACTTTCCTACCTCTCACAAATAACCTAAAAGAAGAAATCACATTTATTATTTATGCTTTCTCCTTATCCCAGTGCACTGTCACTTCTTGCAATCTCCTCCTAGATCTGTTTACATAGATATTCAATAATATGTCACTTATACAATTTGATTTATAGGTGCATTAATGTTATTGGATGCTCTTTATCCCTCAGATAATATCATCAGCACCTATTTCTACCTAATTGTATTCCTCAGTTTTGATCCTAAACTATCCACCACATTATATTATGATGTTTACCACAAACTTACCCACTTTTACATCTTCCAAAGTCATATGTGTAAAATGATTTGTAAATCAATACTTTCTGGATGGAAATTTTTTTGAGATTATTCCATACATCCAATTCATGATTAATGTATATATTTTAGTTATCTCCAGGGACATTTTGGAACAAAAAGAATTAAAATTCAATTCCGAATTGAATTCTAGATATAGATGTAGATATAAATTGTAAATTATGTAGATTTCTATGCAATTTTTTTCTTTTCAATTTTTGCCATAGGGCACATATTCTCACTGTAGAGAGACAGAGAAAGACAGAGAGAGGAAGAAAGCATTTCCCTCTGGGAGTTGGTCATCCTTCCTCTATATTTGTCCACCCTAGCAGGACCCTGGGCAGCATGTCTCCCAACCCATCAAGGTGGGATTCAGACCACAGTCAGCCATAAGGGATGCAGCTCCCTTAATGATTAGGATACCAGATTGGCCCAAACCTTTTATTTTTAATCAATTATAAATATCTATGTCTAAAGACATATAGTAGCCTAAAAAGTTACTCTCAGTTTTAGCTCATAGAAAGAGTAATTTGAATAATTTTAAATTAATTATTTTAATATTTAAATATTAAAAATATTTAAAATAATTTTAAATGAAATTTTTAAATACTTGGTCAATTTGGACTAATTGCTGCTCTAAGGAAATCTTAGATAAAACCTGCTTCGTAGTCATAAGCATTAATGTCAATGTACTTGAGAATAAACTCTCAATTTTGCATGTGTATTTCTTTGTTGATTTTAGTTTTGGGGAAAGTTTTAATTTGTAATTTAAATGTTCTATCTATAATAAAACATATTGTCATATTTTATTTTGTAATTGCTCACTATGAATTCTTGGAGCACATTGTGCATGCATGTGTGTGTGTGTGTGTGTGTGTGTGTGTCCATGTGCTTGTGGGCTACAATGTGCATGCACTTGCTAGAGAAAGACAGACAGAGAGAGAGGGTCAAGAGAAAGTATCCTCCGTCAAAATCATGCTGCAACCCTTCTCTTCAATATCTCTCTCCTTTTAGAGATCATAGGCATCCACAGATACACAAACACACACATCCACTCATGTGCTTTTCAAGCCTCCGGGTCTAGGACTTCAACCACCAGTCAACCATGTGGATTCTGGCTGCCTTAACCACTGGTCAATGGAGCTGGCCATATATGTTTGTTTGTTGCTTTAATATTAGATTCTTCAAGTTTTATAAACTATATATAGTGTGTCATCTCTCTGACTCACACTTGTCTAAAATATGCATAAGGTTAGAATTTTCTATGGGCAATTAAATATGGTGGTATAGTAGTCATTTTCCAGGCCATTTAATAGTGAAAATTAATACTAATATAAATAGAACAAAGAATAAGACAAGTCTCCTAGTCTCATCGTGATAAAAAGAGAAATGAATGAAACATTTTAAACTGAATTTATTATATCAGTTGTATTTGGACCTGTTATTCATCTGGCTATATATATAAGCTTTATTTGTCATTTATTTAATTGATTTTATACATATTTGAAAAAACAACTCATATCTCTATCCTAACACACATATTAATGGACTATATGTCAAATTATGTGGTTTCAAATAGATTTTCTGTGATAATTTTGTGATATATTTCTCTATGTTTTTATTACATATGGCAGTCTTCCATATGCTATTATAAATTAGCCCTCAAATAACCAAAACAGGCAGCAAATGAAAGCAGGAATAAAGCACATTCTTTTAGTTTATTAAACTTACAAAATTAGGTTTAAAAAGCATTGAGAATAAAACACAATGTAAAAATATGTGCTAATCTATAGTAAAAAAAAAAAAAAAAGCACATAAACCTGACTTCCAAATCTTGTCAGAAAATTTATATTTAAATTTTCACTGTCAACTGTGTTACAGTTTTAATTTGTAAAACTTCAGCAGAGAGGTGAGTTTAGGATAATATGTACATATTCCTATCTTTTCAGTTTGAAAATGAATAAAAGAGTTTTATCTCCTCTTTCTTTCAGTGCTGAGGAAGGCATAAAAAAGTTTTATCCTTGTTAAAATGAGCTTTCAAATTTTTATCATGCTTAAAGTCAACTACAAATACAGAAAGAAGAAAACAATAGCAATCTATTAAACATGAGCATTACATTTCAGGAATCCTTACAAAGATTTACACTATTTAGTTTTTTTTTCCAATTTTGTTTCTGATTTTACCAGCAGACAAGCTGTTTGACTAAACATAATAAGAGGTTTCATTTTTTAGTTCCAAGCTAATCAAGATACTTTGTTGAAGCAAGATTTTATAATATCCTACACATTTTTTTCTTCAAGGTACTTACTCATGATCAGGATAGGTTAGATTTGCTT